CGGGACAGCAAAAAACATCCAACTTTTTTTTAGGGGGCGCCAAATTTGGGTTATGTAACACAATTTTTGATTGGTCAATTTTATAAAACGCCAAAATTGATTTATCTAACACAAACCATGATTGGTTAATTAGTATTACCGTATTTTACTTTTTTTATCGCCTTTGCTTTTTTATTTCAACATTTAACTTTTTTCAAGCTTTTACTTTCGCTTTGTTCCTATCGTATCTTTTTTAGCTTTATTTTACTGTACTTATTTACTTTGGCTTTTAAAGTTTTTTTTTTATATAAAACGTGAAACATGCAAAAAAGAAAATGATTCAAATAAAAATTAAGCATAAAAAATTAGAGTTTCCCGATGATCTATATGAGACCGGGAATCTCTCATGGGAAGATTCCCGGTCACAATATGATTATTATAAATATGGTTAATAACGTATAAAAAATAATGATGAAGGTAGTCATGAGTGACACTTAGTGCGACAGGGGATTACTAAGATAAATTGATTTTTTATTAAAAATCATAACAATAATTTTAGTAAATTATATATTTGCCGGGACGGGTAAGTCAATTACAATTATTGATCAAAATTTTTTTTTAAAAAAAGAAAGCCTCACAATTAGAGCCAGCAGACGATAAGTAAAACTGTTTTTTTATTTTATTTTATTTTGCATTGCCTCTTGACTAAAACCCGGATATTATTTACTACCCATCTGTCTTAATTCTTAAATAATACCCGGGAAATATTACAGCTGTTATCATTATTCCTGGGACACTATCAAAAATTAACTGAATGATTATTCTGCCGATTCGATTTCGGCATGATCAATGTAATGTTTATTATGTACGAAGATAGTCTAAAGCTTGGTATGTACGAAGGTGCTAATCAAATTGTAAATTAAAATTCGCGTGAAACTACAAGGCTTCAAACGATCTCTACTTCACGACCTAACTAAAGTTCCATTTCAAATTGTAACTCATACAAAGATCAGTTTGGCTTTTCTTCCATTAAAGTCTTAAGATATTTTGTATAACTCAGGTTTAATAGACGTGATTTTCTTGAAATGGCCGAAGTCTTTCAACGCATCCATATCTTTAAAATTGGTTGAAAACTCGACTTATTGAAGACCTGCTAACACCTAAGTGTTTAGCAGTTGTTCGAATTTATAACTCTTCTAAATTTTTTCGACTATTTTCTAATAAATATACTTCTAAAGTATAATACTTAACTAGAGTTACTGTATATCGATATTGGTTATCTTGTCATTATTGATTAATAATTGTCACTGCTGCACTATAAATAGATATCATTTAAAGTCTTACAAATCGATTAGCATCTACATACGTACGTACCTGGCTTTAGATCATTGTAAATAATAAACATTACATTGATCATACCGAAATCAATAACTTACGAATTCGGTTAATTTTTCACAAGGTGTTCCAGGAATAATGATAACAGCTATAATTTATTACATTCATGTGATATAGTTTCCAACTATAGTATCCAGCTTCTTTAACAGTACCCGTGAGTACTATCCAATTTTAAAAATAGAATTCTTGTCAATTGATTTTTATTAAAAATCATGGCAATAATTTTAATAAATTATATATTTGTGGGGGTGGGTAAGTCAAATACATATTGGTCATTTACAATTATTGATCAATAATAATTTTTTTTTTTTTTAAAAAAAAAAAGCCCCACAATTATAGAACCAGTGGAACAGATAAGTAAAACCGTTTTTTTTTCTTTTTTCTTTTTTTTTTGCCTTCTTTTTTTTTTTTTTATTTTTATTTATTTTTTTTTTTTTTTAGTTTAACAATTCATTGACCAGATTCATTACTTCTTCACTGATCGTTCTGTGTTTCCTATGCTTTTTGACGGCATATTCGGCTGCTTTTCCTGTCAATCCATGCCGGTAAGCATCCATCCACCTATATGACAGCCTGGCAAAAGCACGAATTTGTTCTACGGAAATGGAGTCAAAAGCCTGAATGATCGTTTCCCTGGTTTTTGTAAGAGAATATTCACAATTAGTTCATGTATACTTCTTGGCTATCCCCCAGTACATTTCAATGTAGTTGAGCTCAGGATGAAACTTGGGATAAAATATAACTTTATGCCCACGAGACTCAATTTCATGTTGAATTTGGCCGCGTTGTTCAAGAAAGTCATGCTGATTAGCCATTAACCTATGTGCACAACAATCAATAATATTTGGATCCGTCTTCTTTTTTTTACACGACGTACACACAAGTACCATACCATCTCGCCATAAACCTCTTTCACTAAGAACCCATTGGATTCCTTTAGGCTGTCCACGCAAATTCACATGTTTTTTTTTTTTTTTTGTCATAAATGAAATGATCATTCTCAATGATCATTGACTGGCGGCCACCACTCCACACAGTTTCCCGCATTTTCGGAGCCAAACCACCCAGACCAAGATTCATTTTCGAAGCCACGAGGGCATCCTCAGAGAATGCTTTATAGGACGTGGCATTGTCAAAAGCAAATATACCCACACATCCGGGATGTGTTCGCTCAAAAATATTAATTGCCCGTTTTACTTGTTCAAAAAGTTTTTCAGAATCCCAATAACTATCTCGATTGGTACCCAAAACCTGACAATTTTGATTAAGCAAAATAAGCAATAGAAAATAAAATAAAAGCAAAATTTAATATTTATTTATTTATTTTAAAAATAAAAAATTAATATCAAATACAGTATTAATGGCTAAATTTAGAAATGACATCCAACCATCATTACACGCGTTTCTTCTTGATCGTCTTTAAGCAGTCCTATAGTTTCTGTTAAGAAATCGCTTATATGCACAGCACAACCTAGCCCCTTTTTTCGCAATGGCTGTTCTCCCTCCGGGCCCCACACAGAATGTGGTCCATCATAAACATAAAAAGTGGTTTCATCATGTGTTACCAACACATGCTCCTTTTCACCACAATTTAAATCGGGAAAGGTTCTTATTTTACAGTCTGGGTCGACCCATTTGGACATAAATAGTTCAAGCTGGGCAACCTCCTGGAGAAATATTTCATGATATTCGACAACGTCAGGGCGCTCATGCCCGTCTACGTACACACCTTTCTGATAACGTTGATAACGAAAACCAAGCTTGTGCATCCACCGACATACAGTTCTAACTGAAATGTATTGTACGGATTCAACGTTCAACTGGGGAAGGATTTGTTGTTCAAAATAAGTTTTGACCATAATAGGGTCTAAATTAAATTTTTGGGAGCGTAGATAAGAGGCCAACTGAAGAGAAACCAACTCGTCGTGAAGCAGGCTTTTTGAAGGTGATCTTCCTCGAAGATCTGGCTGAATTAACTCCTTTTTCATGCAAGTGTTCGCCCAACTTCTAATGCTTTGTGCAAGCCATGGTCCACCGTTGACAATGTCTGTGACTTGTTTTGATGCCTCTATTTTCATTTGACCTTGTAAACACAACCTAAGGAAATAAAGAACTGCCAAATAACGGGCCTCCTTGGTCTTTGAAAGCGTTTCATCATTCATTACTTGATTTACAAATTCAATCGCACTACTAATTTTTTTTTTTTTTTCGTCCAATTCTTTGTCTGATTCTTCTACTTCTCCTACTTCTCCTTCTCCTAATTCTTCTTCACCCTATTATTTACTAACATCATTAATTCAATATCAAACTTTGATTTTTTTTTTTAAAAAAAAAAACAGCCCTACTACCTGATCATCCTGGTCTTGAAAGTCCCCATAACCCTCATCATTATCTACCGCTGGTAATTGAGTATTGAAAAAAAAATGGGTAATTTTCAAACTTCCTATAGCCGCTTCTCTGAATGTCTTGTTCTTTCTTTGCCGCATACGTTTGAAATTCCCAATATAGACAGCAGGACGCCTTGTTTTTTTAACCGCACGAAGTTGTTCGATAATCAAATCCACTTCATCAAGGCAATCTAGCTCCATGAAATTGTCGTCTGAACTCTCGTCTGAATTGTCATCAGAATCAACGTATTCTTCGCTTGAATCAAGATCAATAAGAGCACGTGCAGAACGAGCAACCTCTGCTCTTTTCTGCTGCAACTTTTTAATAAGTGACAATTTTGTCATTGCGAAATAAGGTATGGATATAAAATAGAATTCAGTTTTTTTTTTGTTTTTTTTTTTTTAGGCCCTTTTATATATAGCCTACATTATGGTCCATATAATATCAAATTATTATATCGGAAAAAAAAAATCTCAGACCCAAAGATTGCGACAATGAAATACGCAATTCCTTTATTAATATTACGAAATGGGATTAAAGTCTAAGAATTGTTATCCATCATTTACTTATTCAAGATTTTATGTGAACAGGATTCTATGTGAAAAAAAATTCAACATGCAATCGTTTGTCTATTTTATATTTGACTGATCTCCTGACACACTTCAAGACAATTGTCCATATGCATTAAGTCTACGCCTTTATTTTTGTTACATTATGCTAACTAAATAATACTACGTAGTACATATGTACGCACGCAAATTTCTTGAACTTATAGGTACGTACATATGATTTTCACTGTTTTTTAAGAAATGACTAACCTTTTTATTATCTTAATGAACTTGCCTTTTAAATTACGTATTTATTCAATCATACGTATGCTTTGCGCCTAACTTCGATTTACTTTCACAAACTTATAAACTACTGCGCCACCGAAAGACTAATCTGTCTTATCGTTATTATTTTAATGAACTTGCCTTTTAAATTACTTATTCAATCACATTTTACTTTTATAAACTCATTAACTACTG